AAAAAAAAAAACCTCCCCAAGTAATGCTTATGAAGCCTGTTAGATGTAGCAGCATGGTAGTCGGCTTCCTAGTGAACAGTTCTGACCACTGTGAAATGAAGCATTCTTTCTGGTTACTGTATGACAATCCTTTTCCAAAAGGTGTAATTTATAAACAATCCTTTTAAAGTCCCCAAAGAATCTCTGTACACACCTTTGTCTAATTTGGTCCAATTTTTCAGGGTCTGTAATAAGCACCTGTACACCAAGCTTCATTTTTGTTTTCTGCAGGCTGAAGTCAAGGCAAGCAATTTTTGCATTAACTATTCTCTTGGGCATACCTATAATAAAACAGAGCATCAAGTTCTTTCACAGGTAACTATAACGCTACCGTTAATACAAACCACTTTTAAAACCAGTCAAGAAAAGCACTAAAGTATTATGTTGTAAAACATGAACACAGGTTTAGGTTCTAATTTATTCCAGTAAGCATGCATTTCCCCTGGGCTTCATTTTACAAAGTATACATCCTGAACAGTCTTCTGAGAAGAGGCAGTACTAGTCCACAAAAAACTCATTCTAACCTGTGGTTCTTACTATGACTCAGACTCGATCCTTACCCTGTGATCCCACCACACAGTTGAGTGCATAGCCATTGATCAGCAGACTTTCCATTTGACTTCTCCCATGGGCTTTGAGAACATTAACAGAATTGATTGGATAGCGAGGTTGGCCTCTTACATCTGTGTATTTAATAGCAAGTACAGCATCCACCACCATATTAGCGAAGAAATCGCCACTTCTAAGCTAAAGTTAAGGAGAACAAATGTGGAACAGACTAATTACATATAAAAATAAAGGATAATTTAAAAAGACAAGGGACTTGTTTTCAGCAATTTTATTCATAAAAGAAACAAGCAACAGTCCTACTGATATTAGCATTCCATCTTTAAGGACTTCACATTCCCTTCTCTCAGCTTCCCCAACAGAAAGCAACCCGTGCATAAAAACATCTTACACAAATTGGTACCACTACAAGGATACATTCCAATGATTTTAGAAGACATAGATGTCTTAGCAGCATTAATCAGGCAATCTCTTCCAAGTTCATCTGTGTTAATAATGAGGTTTTCACTGATGTAACGCACTGCTTCCCTGTGAAAAGTATGGGGAAAAAACAAGTTCACCACTCACGCTCTTTGTTTTTGTTAAGTTTAACAGTGTCAAAAGGTCCATTTTCTGTACAGCCATTTCATATAGAAGGAGGACACTACAAAGCCAGCCCTCTTCAGATCACGGCAGCGTTTATCTTTCCCACGAGCATAACCATGGAAAGCTACTGCTAAGCCCCGTGTGACAGTCAAATGGGAAGGTTACTGGCTTACTTCTTACTTCAGATTTACTACCAAACACATGAATACACAACTTCATTCAAATTAAAAGTCACTATGGTGCTCTGGTAGCGTAGTGGTTATGAATCGGGCTGTGAACCACAAGTCAGCAGTTCGAAATTGCCAGTGGTTCCGCAGGAGAAAGATGAGGCTATCTGCTCCTGTAAAGATTTACAGCCTCAGAAACCCTGTTCAGGGTCACTATGGGTCAGAACTGACTCGATGGCACTTAACAACAACAACAAGGCGCTCTGGTAGTGTAGTGGTTACGCATCGGGCCGCGAACCGCAAGGTCAGCAGTTCGAAACTACCAGCTCTTCCACAGGAGCATTCTGCTCCCGTAAAGATTAACAGCCTTGGAAACCCTGTGCAGGGTCACTATGAGTTGGAACCAACTCCATGGCACAGAGCCACCACCAACCAAAGAATTACTTTGACAACACATAGTAACATTTCTCAAAGCATGAAAACAACCTTACTTGCAAGCAAGTCGATAGCCACTAATAACTGATGTGGGATGAATTTTCTGTTTGACTAATTCATCTGCATTTTTTAGAAGTTCTGCAGCAATAATAACCTGTTGAGGAAACAGTCATTGGTCTCAAGCTTGACACTGAATATGTTTAGTTTAATGCACATGTAAAAAGAACAGTAAACTAGCCAGGCATTAACCAGAATAGTAACGGTAGTAAAACAAATCGGTTACTAGAAAAAAGTTTATAATGCAAATATCAAGACAGTTAAGAATGTTCCAGCCAAGAAATCAGTTCAGCAGCAAAACTGTGTGAGCCTGAGACTCCATTACCTGCAGAAATTAAGTCCTAAACAGAAGCTAAATTGGAGTTCTGGTGTGGCGCTGTAGGATAAGTATGGACCACAAGGTCAGTCAGAACCACAAAAATGGTGGTTCAAACTCAAAAGCTGCTCCTCAGAAACCCTATACAGTGTTGCTATGAGTCAGAACTGACATGGTGGCACTTAACAGGAACTCAAATGATCTATACAACTTCAGGTTATGACTTCGTTTACTTCTTCAAAAGGGGATGGTTCAAGTCCACCCAGTGATGCCTCAGAAGAACCGGTGATCTCCTTTCTAAAAACACCCAGACATTGAAACCCTTAGAAGCCTAATTCTCTGAGACACACAGGAGCAATCAATTCCTTTTAGAAAATTATAAGGAAAGGTTTATAAATGTAATCAGCACTAATTTTTTGTACAGCCATTTCATATAGGAGGAGGACACACAACAAAATCCTCCCTCTTCAGATCATGGCAGTGTTAATCTATCCCATAAGCATAACCACTAAAATCTACTGCTAAGATCAGAAGTGGTAGTCAAATGGGAAAAAGAAAAGCAACATTTTAAAACAAGGGGTTATGCCACTCTACCAACAGGGTACCTACCACAGAAGTCGTTCCATCTCCGACTTCTTTGTCTTGAAGATCAGCCAGCTCACAGAGCACCTTAGCTGCAGGATGTTCTACCTCCAGCAACTTCAGAATGGTTGCACCATCATTAGTAATGGTTACGTCCTAAGAGAATTGCAGGGGCCAAACAAAAATCATCCACAGAAACAAGACATCTCCCAAATTAACACAGCCCCCTATGACACCCCATATGCACCTTTAGTGCATCTTCAAATACCAAGATTTTGAGAGAAAGCATAGAATTTACATTGCAAAAGTTTATTATCCCTTTTCTTTGTGATGAGAAATACAAGTTAGATGTACTTACACCAATATCATCCACTAACATTTTATCCAAGCCAACTGGACCAAGAGAACTTTTCACAATATTGGCAATAGAAGCTGCAGCCATAACTGTAGACATAAATGAAGGGGGAAAAAACGAAACAAAACAAGAGTTAGAAAACCAACGACTCTAAACGTCATCATTTTAACCCCAGAAAAACTAACCATCCAGTCACCTCTAAATTGCCCACATTAATCACGCCCAATTAGTTCTAAAATTCTTAAAAGCCTGATTTGCCAGAATAGATTGGGGGCACTTTGAAAAAATAACTTTGACTATACTTCCAAAGGGGAGACAAAATATCAAGGAGTACCCCTCGTTTTTTAGTAGAATTAAAAAAGCAGTCTCACTTCATACAGGAAAACTGAAGCAGTCTTCCCTTCAGATCCTGATAGTTTAAATCCATTACATTAGCGGTCGCTCTACAAAGTGAAAAAGCGGTAATGGAACGAGCCGATGCAGACCTGAGTTCAAGTTTGCCCAAAAAAGAAAATCAGGAATCTATAAAACGCCCGAAAACACCGTCTACAAGAACCGCCTTCCCTCATTATCTCAGAACCAAGACAGGAACGTTTCATGGAAATGTCGCCAGCTACTTTTACGAGGGGAATGTCAGCAATGACAGGACAGGGGCGCTAAGAACAAGATCTGGACAGCGGGGCCCGAGGGCGGGGATGGGAAGAAACGCGGCTGGCCCGTTTCCGTGAGCTCGGCCCATCCGGCGCGGTTCTCACGTGCGGCGTTCGCCCGGATCCTTCCCCGCCGCCCGCCCACAAGCAGAGGAACGGCTGGCGGGGGCTCGCCAAAGCGTCTCTGGGGACGCAATTTGGGGGAGAGTCGGAATGTGTGAACAGGACGACCACTGGCCGCGGCGTGCGCTCGGCCTAACCAGGCCTAGAAGCCCTTACCGTTCTGAGAGCGGATCGCCTCCCCGGTGCTACGGTCTCCGAACACAGACAAAGGCCCCTCCATCTTCGCGGCAAATTCCACACCGCAGTAACCAACCAGTGTCTCGTCCGTACACGGGCGGTGGCGACAGCGGCGACGGCGGCGGCGTGGACCGACCCGAGCGACGCCTCGAGAGCTGCAGGGTAACACCGCCCTCCTCGCGACTCAACTCCCCAGGCTCGGCCGCGGGGCAGGGCGGGAAAAAGTGAAAGGGGGCGGAAGGAGAGACGCATAACTGCGCCGGACGTGAGGAACCGGAAGTGGGCGGTGCAGAAGCATACTAGCGTATTGTCCAATTAGAGTATCGGTAAGACGACGCGAAGATCAGAGAGAGGAAGTAAGGAGTCGGGGCTTCCGGAGGAAAGAGGTGAAAGTGTGCCGCTCCCAGGATTGCGCATGCGAGTTGTGATATTCTAGTGCCTTCTAGAAAATGGAGTGTATTGAAGGGGTGGTCCCTTACCTAGTAGGTTAATGCGGTTCTGACAGTGTCCATTGTCTTAGCCGAGGCCTGTTCTTTATCCTCCTTCCAAATTGAAACTACTTATGGATCACGGAAGCTCTGGTAGCGTAGTGGTTACAAGTCGGGCTGCCAACCTTAAGGTCAGCAGTTCGAACTACCAGCGGTTCCGCGGGAGAAAGATGTGGTGTTCTGCTCTCGTAAAGATTTATAGCCTCGGAAACCCTGTCACTATGAGTCGGAATCGACTCCACGGTATTTAACAACAACATGGATCACGGATCGGTTGGCCAGGCACTCGAGTGTGGTCTGGGGCCGGAGCTCCACCAAGGCTTTCGTGTGGGTCCCTTGGGAAGCTGTAGATCGAAGGAGCCAACCATCCATTTAAAAATGTAATCGTGCATTTTGCCGTGCCTTGATTCCTCCCAGTTCCCATTTGGAACATGGTGAATCGGACTACAGCGCTCAGATACGGAAACGTGGAGTTAGGAATGCTCTTTGCTCCTCCAAGCAGTTAGCATTTCCAAGACTGGGATAAGTTAACGTTGAACTCAGGCCCGCACGGAACGCCCCACCCCCTAACACGTTCCTTCGAGATGATTGGTCCGCTCCGGGTCTGCGTGCGGTTGAACCTGTGCGGTGATTGGAGGAACGGACTTGAAGGATGGCCCGCTCGGCCATTCAATTGTAGGGGCTGACCTGGGGCGAGAGCGACTCGCGGCGGAGAATGAAACGACCTCCAGCGGCCTCAGCGTCTCCCTGAGTCAATATGGCGGCGCCTGCGGGCTGCTGAAGCGTCTTCGGGGAGCAGGTGGAGGCAAGGCTTTGCCTGAGGTTCCCCTCGGTGATGGCGCTTCGGTCGCGGTTCTGGGCGCTGCTATCCGTTTGCAGAAATCCCGGTAAGTAATTTTGCCCCATTTTTCTCAGATTATTCCCCAGGATCTCTACACTATGTGTAAATATGCAACGCCCACCTACGAAAAGTAATTGAGCCAATACCATTGTGATGATAAACATACTGCGCCCCTGTGCTACTATAGGATAAGCGCTGGACTGCTAACCACAAGGTCGGCAGTTCAAGCCCACCATCGGCTTTGGGGGAGAACAATAGGGCTGTTTGCTCCCGGAAAGGTTTATGGCCTGTGATTTACAAAGGGTCACTATGCGTCCAAAAGGACTGGACGGCAGTGGGGGGTTATTCATTGGTGAGAAGACTGCGGGAGAGCATGTGGACTGAGTTACATCTTTTTTTTTTTGTTTCTTCTCAATTTCTTTATTTAACCATCTACCATGAAGCAGACATAGAAGGTTTGCCAAACCCAATAGCCATTCACAGATATAGTGGTACCACCCTTAGCTCCCTAATGAGGATTTATTACCTGGATCATTACATGAGGATGAAAAGTCAACACAGTAAGGATAGTGTGTTACAAAGCCAGAAAGCACCCAAGTTCTTGATGGCATCATTAAGTTCTTGGACCAACTCTGATAAAACCTTCTCCTAGCTGTTTGTTAAATAAAGAACAATACCTGAATACTTCTGCTTATTTTTTTAAAGCTACTTGAATGACTACATTCTTCAAACTAGTCTCAGCCTTGACCAACAACACTTAATGAGTCTCTGGAATCCCTGGGAAGTGTTTCTTCTTCTTCTTCTTCTTTTTTTTAAATTAAATGTTTTTATTTTGCATTGAGTGAAAGTTTACAGGGCACATCATCAGCTTCACATTCAACCATTCATATAACTTGTTTCATTACATTGATTATTATCCCCTCCATATATCATCAGTT